TTATTATTATTATTATTATTATTATTATTATTATTATTATTATCATCATCATCATCATCATCATCGGTCATGCAACCCTAGTGGACTCTGCAGTATCATAGCAGTATTGTAATAGTTGCGGAAGGCAAAGCTTTTGACCTTGTCTTTACCACAGTAATCCTGATGGAAATTTTGCAGAGAGCATGTAGTTTTTATCATTATCTTCCTTAAGGCAATTGCCTGAGACACCATGCCAACTATACTTTGACAGGCTATTGAGTACACAGTTGTCTTGGGTGGGGGGCAAGATGTGTACCACAACCACATCAAGATAGTGCCTCAATGTATTTATTATTATGGTTAGTTGCACAGTCAGCCAGATGTTTAGGCTGGATTTGGCATTTTTATTCACCTATCAAGTCCTTCCCAAAGGACATGGAGGTCTTTCTCCATGCAACCTTCTGTGGATAAAAAAACCATGATTGGAGCAGGAGAGAAACTCAAGAAACAAAGCAGGAAGAGATCTGCTCACTGGCTTCATCTGTGGCAGGCCATATCTGAGGGCTGCAGATTCCCTATAGGGTCTACTGACAATAATGTTTCACAGTAGATTATATCACTCAAACAAGTTAAAATATATAAAAAGTACGAGAAGACTGAAGACTGAGAGCAAGAATATGGACAAAGCAGAGGGGGAGAAATCAAACATCCCCAGATATTATATCTTAGTTCTTTCAGGTTCACCAAAACCCCCTCAGAGCAACAGAAGTAAGGGATCAATCATTGTTGAAACAATGTCTGAAAAACTCAATTTTTTCATTTTCTTTGTATCTAATTTGGTGCTATAATTCCTATCAATTAATATCTGCTCCAAGTTTATTTTTCTCATAAGTCTTTGCTTGTTTAGGTCTTATATCAAATAAAGATATAAATAAATAAATAAATAAATAAATAAATAAATAAAAGCTTTCTTTGCTTTCTTCTTTCCCACTCTTTGTTATTTTTCTTCACCGTGACTATCTAAATTTAAATTATAAATTTCCTGAGCTGTGACCAGCTTTTGGCTTATTCTTCATTTTTACTCTACATATTATGCCAACCACCATAGACACTAGTGGGAATATATGTAACAGCAATTCAGGACACCAACAGAACCATATAAGCAATTCAATATTTGCAGCTATGTTCCAGAAAGCGTTTACAATGCAATCCTGAACATGTTTACTCAGAAGTAACCCTTACTGAATTGTTTCGAGAACAGTAGGCCTAGTCTCCCCATTCAGGATATTATTTAACTATGATAGTTTTCATTCTTTTTCTAATCCTGACATCATTTATTAAATTTAGTGTATGTGCTATCATTGTAACTTTTCTGAAGTTTCACTGTATAAATATAAAATAAAATGTATGCATGTGTGTACATGTGTTGTGTGTGTATTATTTGGATTCACCTTCAAAGGGCTAAAAAAACCCCTTATTTTTAGTATATGAATCTTTTCCTTGCAACAAGGAGAAGGGCATGAGTGGAAAGCAAGAATCTGTGTAAGCTGAAATCAGAACAACACTGACTACAGTTCAGAGGGCTTGGAGAGGCAACTTGAACTCAATCATTATGTAGTCTGGCCTCCATCCAAACCCAACATCTAGGGTCCAAGTTAATAGGAGCAGTAATATGGCAGCTCTCCCATTCCTCCAAGTGGGAATGAGACCTAAATATCTGAGTCTATGGAAAGGACTCAGTTGCTTATTTACCCCTTCAATGGATCCAAATCCAGCATCTACCTACACAAAAAGTTGTGCCAGAACTCTGAATTAACATACTGGCAAGCAACAGGAACAAGCAACACTGCCATGGAAGAAGCAAAGGCAAAACAAAATGCATCACACATGCTAATTAGATAGTGGTAAAATGCTTTTATAGTTAGCTCTGTTAACCAACAGCCAACTTCCACTCATAGCAAGGTAAGTAACTCCGTTTCTGCGGAGAGTAGGTGTGGAAATTGATGTGGCAATACTAAAGCCAGATCCAAGCCTTTTGTTTTCAATTCTGGAGAGACCAGAGGTGGTAGATTTCTTCTAAAGTCTGCCACTAAGAGTCCCAACAATGTTTTGAATAAGCTCCTGGGAACAGAATATAATCAAGATGCTTCTGTGTGGCATACTATCCTTGGTGAGCAGAAAATAACGCACCTCCTCTTTCATCTATACAGTATACCAGTTCCATTTGAGTAGGATGACTTCGATGAAATTGGTGGACTTTGCACATTTGCTACCTTAGTTCTTAAATTAAACAGTGAGTGTTGCTATTTATTTCACAAAATGGCAATAGTTAAATTATAACATGAAGACATTCACAACATAATACCTTTCATTTTCTTGGAGCAGCTCACCTCCCTTTTTCCAAATAGTTGTCGCTTTAGGGGAAGCTTTTGGCTTGCACTCAAAATGAGCTGGGCTGCCCTTTAGAAGCTGAATCAATTTCTTCACTGGGCTTTTAGAAAAGTCAGGAGCAGAAGCTAGCAGCAGAAGAAACATATTAACTATGAAACACAACTTCTCCAGCATGTCCTCAGTGAGTTCCACAATTCATGTTACTTTTTTTTTCTTTTTCTTTAAGCACTGAAGAATATGAAATTCCCATTCTAGTTCAGCAAATATAGCACTGAAACAGAAATTGTATATTAAGATGCCACTGAATTAAGCTGGCAAAGGCTTTACTTTCACTTCACTGATCATAAGAGTCCAAAGACTAATATTGTCCAGCATTTGTTTGTTTTTTTACAGCAGCCAACTTTTCTCCTGCTGCGATTTTCCATCAACTGGTATTTACCTGATGCATGTGCCCGGCTGAATCCACAATATTTAGTACAATGGCATATTGTTACCACATTACATCAGTGGTAAGAATATGCCCCAAATGGTTCCCTTGCTTCCACTGAGTCTCCCTATCCCACTTTATTTTTACAAATGCAGGATGTTGGCATGTTGCAAAAGAAAGCAAAGGCATTTCATGTCATATTTATTTGCAGCAATGTCTTTGTATTCCACAAAAATCCTGATGGGATGGTAAACAGAATCTTGAGGGACTACTTTACCTTATGGTAAATAAGTATTTTGTGACTGGCCATGATCACTGTACCAACCATTTTGTCCCATGGCAGGCATTTCTAAGTACAACCACCATTTTATGAATGTACCACTGGGCCCCCCAAATTGTATACCTTACAACTAAGCCAATCTACCTTATTTTATTGATATAGGAGGATGAAAAGAGACATCCTATAGTGATTTCATAGTATTTCTAGAAGTCGTTCTGAAAAAGGCATTAACTGATTTGAATCAAACTGAAGTCAAGAGTTCAGATCTCAACTGCAGAGGTTTATTTCAAGAAGACATTACTAAGCTATTACTGGTGCTAATGATGAAGCATTAGCACATTTTCTCATTATCGCATTTTCTCATAACATGTTTTTTCTATACATAACTGAAAGCTGTTTTGCTATGTTTGGAAACAGGCTTTCAGAAAATATACAGGGGAAGAACAGATGTAAGATTAGATTAGAGCTTTTCCACAAATTGATTTTTCAGAAAGTATAACAAAATTGCACTTTAATAATTCATTGTGAAGGCTGTCCTGGAGATAGAAGAAGAGTAGTAAGATAGGTCTCAGCCAGGAGATTGCTTGGTGATACTTTTGACTTTAGGGAAGGAGACAGGGAGAAGATGGAAGACTGAAGGGACAGAAAGAGAAGTGACAGAATGGGTTATTTTTCTTTCCTTATGCTCTGTCTAAAATATTCAGAGGGCCAAGGGAGGTAATGTTAGCAAAACTGCAAAAAAGAACATAAAAATATATTTTTTACTGACTAAAAGTAAAGTGTCCTTCAGGTTGAGTTTAACTACAGATATCTTCATTGAGACATCCATATACTGTAAGTAGTTTGCAATTTCCTCCTGGGATGTTATTTTCAATTTCCCAGTGTAGCCAAAACTCTGCTAACTACTTTAATTAACCAGGTCCAACTCTACTTTGAGATCAGCCACAATTGGGAAGGTGCTGCCAGTTAGCTGGCTTCATTGGCTACTGCAAGACTTTGCCAGAGAGAGTTTATAGAATGGGGGAGTAGAGTCAGGCTGAGTTCTTCCCAACAAGATTTCTACTTGAATCACATGAAATTCAGCAAGGAAAGAATGGGCCTGGAACTTCATAAATCTAGGTGGATAGAATGTCTGTCATGGGTTTATCTGTCTGTTTGTCTGTGGCATTTCTATGCCAATATAGATCATAAAGATATCTAGTAGCTTGCAATAAATCAGTGTAAAAATATTAAATACAACATAAGACATCAGAATTAAAATTCAGGTATCCAGGTTACATATGGACAAGCTCATGGAAGAAGACTTGCTGAGTTTGGGATTGTAAAGAAAAAAATAATAATAAAAGTTGCATTTTCCTACATAAAAAAGAATATGTCTACATTGTAGATAGAATTTAAAACATTTCTTATAAGGGATGCTTTTCATAGGCAACCAAAAGTGATGCCACTATACTCTGGTTGAATGATTTAATTCAATGATTTCAAGAGTTCCCATTTATTTATCTGTTTCAGTGGGAAACTTTTCAGCACATTTTGTCCAGCTTTGCTAGATACATTTTAGTCTCCCATTCTGGTCAAAAAAGAACCTATGTTCAGTTTAGGTGTTTGAAGGTGAACATAGTAGAAGAATGATCTCTGTCAGCAGATGGACAGAGTCAAATTACCCTTTAATTTTATTCAAAAATCAGCTTCTCTGCCCAATCTAGACTTCAACGATCTGTACAAATTATATTAAGTATTATAATACCAGAAGCTGATTTGGGCATCAAAACTGATAACTCTGCAATCAATGGTCTAATTAACAGATTTGTTCAGATTTGCACTTACATGCTTTCTGCCACTTTAACACTATATTTCATTTAGGAAAAACAGAAATGAACACAATGCAAAAGTATAACTTTAATTTCCATTTGAAATATAATATAGGATTGTGTGAACTATAGAACACACAATTTCCCAGATTGCCTAGGCTGCTAAAATGTTCCACAGCTACCTCAATACAAATATTTCAGAACGGACCATGTTACTTGTAAAGAGTAATATAATTTTTGAACTGGCACATACAGTCCACACATTACAAACTATTCAATCTGTTCATTAGGGTTGCTGTGTTAAAGATTACTTATTTGTGATTATAATACATGGACAAAATTCCTGGAAGCACTGTTTATATTCCCCATTACTGCTGATCACATTAGTGGCTAAGTATGCAGGAACAGATCATGGTTTCCCAGCTAATATTAACACCCAGAAAAGCAGTTCACTGGGGAGTGGAAAGGAATAAAGTGCATCAATGGTGCATCAGCCCCCCTCACTTATGCAACCCCCAAAGAGGCCAATATGGCTCCTAAACTCAAAGGATACTCATCTCTGGTTTAGGAAGCAATATAAAAAATGTAAACTGAACTTGCTTATATCATCTGAATACATCAGAAGCTCTGCCAATTCAGCTCTCCACAAGGATAAATCCTTGCCATTTGTTTTAAAAGCAAACTAGCATCACCTTCATAAATAATGATGGGTCCCTGCACTCATATCAAGGAAAAAGTCAGAAAGTTCCCTATTGCTTTCCAACGACATTGCTATCTTGAGAATACCAAAGTTATGATGTGGAAGGTCAGTACCATGCAGTAATATGCTGAGCCAATGTTGCTTCCCGATTGTGTGATTAGTTTTAATCACTGGGACAGTATCCAAGCTTTGTCTCTCTTCTCCCCATAATTAATAATTTATCTTGGTGTCCTTGTTTTAAATCACTGAATGATTGAGCTATAAAATATAGTAGGCTTCTTTACCCCCCACCACATCCCTCAGATACAGTTGAGAAAATTACTCAAGAAATGCTGATAAATTGAGTGCTGTGAAAGCATTTTTGCTACATTTTTTAAGATGGTGTAGGAAAAACATGACAGCTACTGTAGCAGTGGGAAAAACAATAAAATATTAACAACAACAAAACAGAAAGGAAAGTTTCGACTTACCTACAACCCGGAGATTGGCACTGGAATATATCATGCCATGTTTGTTCTCTGCTATACACTGGTACATGCCAGAATCTGTCAGGTTTAAGTTTGTTATAGTCAAAGCTCCATTTTCAATTTGTACTCTTCCCTGGGTAGTAAAAGCAAAACATTAAAAAGGAATATATTTAAGTGACTGATAAAATAGACAACTAAGGATGTTTTGGCTGCACAGGCCTTCATCAAACTTCATTTGAAGAATTCATACATAGCTTAACTGATGTTTAAGTCAACTGTGGAACTTCTTGTATGCATTGACCAAAGTGAGTAATATACTAGTAACGGTTCTTATGAGAGACAAAGCTTTATAGAGCTTTGCAGTAGATATAAGCATTGGACTGGAACACCAGCTTTGAAAATCCTCTTTCAAATTCCGATTGAGTTGGATTTGTTTGTCAGTGAGGTCTATTCCTAACAATCCTGGGATCAACTCACTTTAATTCTGAGGCTTACAAGCTTGTCTACTGCAAAATGCTTTTACATGGAGAAAAAAGAAGTATTTTTTTATTTGAAAGTGCAGCTCATTTTGAGGTCTAATTCTTGCTCAAATTATATATTTGCATCTTTTCTGTTCTCTATAATCTTTTCTAAAAGTATACTCATAATAGCTGTCAAGCTTTCTACCTAATACACATTTTCTTTTGGGCTAAAATTATGATTAGTTGATGTTGGGGTTAAAGTATCCTCTGTGTGCATTTCAACATTCCTGATAACATAGATTTGATATGATCAATGATAATGAAGCAGGTTTGATCACTTTAACAGAAAGGAGACTTATTTACAGGAAATACATAGAAGGGACAGGCAAAGTCTAACACCTGGCTGAGTACACCCTACCAGAAAGAGAGTCAAAAAGTGTGCGCCCTCCATGTGTATGTCTCAGAAGAAAGGCAAAAGGAAGTGACCTGAGATTAGCAACAACTTTGTCAAGGAGCAGGAAGAGTACTAGAGAGAACACAGAATACGTGCTATTACCTTACTTGTGGTCAGTAGGTCATATGATGCTGAAGAATTAATGCTATTGGATCATGACCTCCAACAGGTAATTAAGTGGGAGATGAGCATTCTGTCATGTGAACTATATATAAAAATTAAACAACACCCCAATCCAGTACAACAAACCATTCAGGGGAAGGTTCAGGCCCAGCCCAAGAACGACAATGGGGCAGTCCAGTCCAGTATAGTTCTTTCATCAGCTTGCACCTCATAGAATCTCGCCAGACTAAACCTATGCTAAAGCAACTAGTGGATATACCCTGTGAGACTCTAGGGAAGGGCCAGTCTCAGCTTCTTCACCTTCTCACAGTCCTGCTGGGGGCTGAGGAAGCGCTTGGTCAGGAATGCTCCCCTTCCCTCATGATAACCTTGGTCCTCCATTCCAGTATCTTCCTCACACATGCCTTCCATTACAACAGTACATCTTTAGGGCTTTCCTAGAAGCTGTCTTTGATGGCAATTTATTTCATATTTCTGGGGCCACCACAGAAAAGGCCTTCTCTATCATTTGAACATAACTGAACAGTCTTCAAAAGAGGACAGGTAAGAAGAGACTCTGTTCCTGGTCTTAAAGAGAAGGCAGATTGATCCAGGTGAAGGGGATTTTTAAAGCAACTTAGGCCTAAATTATCTAAGGCCAGAGGCTGAGTCCAAGTAAATATATTAGGGGACTTTCCTACACATACACATGCACATTCCATCCATTTAATATACATGGTAGTTTTTTTTAGTTTGTTTTTTCCCCTTTCCCCTTTTCTGTTATTTAGCTTTTTTCCTTTCTCTTTTATTTTTCTGATTTTTATCATTTCTTAAGTTTAAGGATGTTTAGTTTAATGTTATTACAGTGTTTAAATAATAAATAAATAAATAAATAAATAAATATAAATAAATAAATAAAATTCCATTTGGGGACACAACACAAGTGCATCTTTTGTTCACTTGCTATCCATACAGAAACACTATAATGAAGTTTTAACATTATTTCTATTGATATTAAAGGATAGTGTTTTTAAGTCCTATAAGGGTAGAGTGCCTTAGAAGAAGTTTAGTTTTCCTTTTGCAAACCTAAACTGTCTCAATTATACATCCCATGCACTGAGCCTTAAAATAACCTTAATACAGGTCAACTTTTTTTTTTTTCAATTTATGTCAAGAAGAAACTTGGGAAAAGTTTTTTTCTCTAGTCAGCTATTGATCAGAAATAAGAGGGGTGTGATCAAGGGAATGGGAACAGTGCTTTGAAAATGGGGCAGGGTGAGAACCTTGATAAAGAAAGACTTGAGAGAGTATATGGGATACACAGGGGACTATGTGAAGTCTGGAGCATGGAGGTTCCTCTGCGAAACTTAGCTTTAACCAACACCTTGACTTGGGCTTGGAAACACACCCGTAATCAGTACAGTATATATACTACAGCTGTGTAAAACTTCAAGAAGATGATTTGATCAAAAGGAGATTTGATTAAATCATCCTTTCAAATCAAATCAATTTTCTCTAAAATCAGAGACTCCATGGAATTTCTGTCCATTCTAGCTTTGCAGAATCACAATATTTGTACTCCAGTCTCTGTTGGCCCCCATGTCCAATCTGTCCAAAAGAACCCATTTTCAGTCCCTTTTAATATCCTTACATTCCCCCACTTCTGCCCCAAAGAATGAAAACAACAACCAAAAACACACCAAAGATGCTTGTTTCCTTTCTGCTACTTGTCTTTCTCTTTCTTGCATTGTACAGCGTGAATATTTTCCACTGTGTGAATGGATCTGAGATAATTTATTTGCTGCCAGATTACTGCATACTAAATCCAGCCAAAGGTATTTGGGAAGACTAAATGGAAGGTAAAACAACAAAGAATTTATTATGGTAGTGTGCTATAGACTGCCAAACCATACAAAAAAATTGGAGATATCTTCCTGTATGAGATTACAGAACTTTCAGCCTATAACAGCAATGGAAAACTTCAGCTACTTAGATATCTATTGGAAAACTAACTCAGCCAAGTCTGTAAGACTCTAGTGTAGACTTGCTGTTTTATTTTCCAGAAAATTGAAGAAGAAACAAGAACATTCATTATCCTAGACTTGATCCTAATCAATAGTTAAAGAGGTAAAGGCAGTAGGAACTTTGGAAAAAAGTAACAAGTTCATATTGGAGTTCAAGACATTACAAGAAAGAGAATGGTCTATTACAACAAGCTTAGAGAAGTACATGGATCCACGGACGAAATCTTCAGGTCAAAGGGAGAATAGGTGGGTTAGAAACTTCTAAAAAATCAGGTACTTAAAAAAATGCTAAGCATAACATTAGACTGAAGCAAATATAAAGATACAACAGTTTAGCTCTCTAAGAACTAATAAGAGAATCAAAACAGAGGTTGACAAAAACAGCTATAAGAATTTACAAGAATTTCTAACTAATCTAAAGCAGCCATCCTTAATTTTATGGCCAATCAGTCAAAATAGGAGTTTTAAACCTTATGTTCATAGTTAACTTACTGATCAACTTGGCAGAAAGGTATGTGAAGAATTATAGTCTATAAATAGTTTCCAAATTGAGTTAAAGCTAGTATCAGGCTTAATTTTTAGATATAAAGTTATTTTTGACATTGATACATACTCTGAAAGCTTAATTCTCTAATGGAGGATTAAGCATAATGTTCAATGAGAAGCACTGAAAATCCTACCAGTGCTTGTTACATATAAAGCCAACTCACTATATTTCATACGAGAATATGTCTTGGTAATACTTAACAGAAAAACAGCTGGCAGAAAAGTGAAGTCAATATTTAAAATTTCTTTCATCCTCAAAAACAGATACTGGGAAGCAATTGCACACCATTCTAATTTTTAAAAAAGGAAGTAGCTTAAGAAACCATTGTGGATGCCAAGGGAGCTTTTGATTGATCCAAGAGTTAAAGGAGCCATGCATAAGAAATGGAAGATGGGTGTAATGATCAAGGAAGTGGACCAGCAAGCAGCTAGTATCTGCAGGAAAAAAAAAATAGGCTAAAGCACAAAAGGAACTTAAGACTAACAAAAGAAAATAAAAGCAACAAAAAGGTTTGGGCTTTACCTATAGTAGAAGGAAGAAAAGGTGAAGGATGGGCCTGCTGCGAAGAGAAGATGATGGAGACAGGGCAGAACTCTTCAATTCCTGTTTTGCTTCAGTCTTCTTTTTTAATTTTAATTAAATTAAATTAATTTAATTTAATTAATTTAATTAATTAATTTAATTTTAATTAGCTTAGAGAAATACATGGAGCCCATGGACAGTAATGGAACTAAGCAGAACAACAGACAAATGAAGGGAGTGGCAACCCAAGGTAAGTAAATGTTATGAGAAATAATATAGTGGGAGAAATAGATGAATGGAATGTGAGCCTAAGAAATATGGGGACATGCCGAGGTAGGTAGGCAAAAAGCAAGGAATAACCGGGCCAGGTCTGGATACCAGTTACCGGATACCAGAGATAAAAACTGCCACGCAGCAGGTCACAGGGAAGCAATCCATCAAGTTCAGACAAAGACTGAGTAAAATTAACTGCCATGCAGCAGGTCACATAATGGTCAATGTGGAAAGGAATGTTGACAGAGGCTGCTGGCAAAGAATAAAAAGACAAGCTGTACAAGGTCTCTGCTGGAAGACCACCAATTCATACAAGCAATTATAATCTCTGAGACTCTGGAAGGAACTTGCAGATATCATATCCGAGCCCCTTTGTGTGATCATTCAGAAATCATGGAGGATGGGCATAGTGCCAGAGGAGGATGGCTATAGTGCCAGAGGACTGGAGAAGGACAAATGTTGTTCCTGTCTTCAAAAAGAGAGGGAAAAGAAAGAACCCAGGTAAGTACAGCTTGATGCCAATTCCAGGCAAAATCCTGGAATGGATTATTAAGCAGTGAACTTGTAAGCATTTAGAACAGAATGCAAGAGGCTACATGAGTTTATCAAAAATAAATCATGCCAAACTGACCTAATTTTTTTTTACAGTGATGAGTCTAGTCTTTGATAGAGTGATAGAGTCTTTGATAGAGTGATGAGGCAGAAGACTAGCAGAGTACATCCATGAACACCAACTAGGAGGCAGTAGTCATGATGAAAACTCCTTAATCTCACTCTCACAATGGACAGACTCAACCATAGTTTCAAGTGGGAAACTGTGAGCATCCTAGACCAAGCTAAATCTAAAGATGCTAGGGAATTCCTGGATGATTGGCATTCAGACAAATCAGCCATCAATAAACACATAGAAATAAACCATATGAACACACCATTCAAAAGGGATAATAAAAAAGCTAAGAAGGAAACAAAAAGAACAGACACATCTTCCCCAGCAGCCAACACCCAGATAAGCAGGGATGAACACCAGGCAAACGATCAAGCAGAAAACAATATCCTAATCAAGGAACTACCAAGGAGTAAACTACATCCCCACCAAAACTGTCAGGGCAAACTACTGTATATAAACAGGGAGCAACCCCCCCCCCCC